AATTGTCCATGGGTGGGGTGGCTTTCCGGGGGGGGGGTAATTTTCCGGGGGATGATTTTCCAGGGGGTAATTGTCCGGACACGTTAATATACATCGTCTTGACCGACGCGTTTTACAGATTAGTGTGGTGAAGTCCACAGCAGCGCGATGTCACGTTCTCGCGGTGTCGTTGGTTGACAGTTAGTGTGTTGTAATTTGATTTCTCATCACGCTTGGAGTATTCTAAAACTTGTAAAAAAAGTAGTACTGCTTGATTTTTTCGGTTCTAAGCGGATTTTTATATTCTCGTTTTCTGTCAAATTGGCGAATTTTTTTTTATCGAGATTACTCACATGATATCTTATAACAATGTATTTGAACACATAGTGAAGAGAAAATGTATGCCCGGAGCTGGACTTTAAAGAACATTGTTCACGATCTGATAGTGTTATAAATGATGAATATGTTTTAGGTTTACAAGGTACACTTGAAAATGATAATGTAGCCTGTAATGTAAGTGATAAATTAGGTTTAATATTTTCTAATACTAACATTATTGACAGTTCGCAAAATTGGTCTATAATATTGTTTAAAGAAGCGTTTGCTATACGTAGGCTAGACCAATTGCTTAACAATGGGCTGAAAGCTTCAAAGGAGCTTTCTTTGTTTTTGTAGGTAGCTTTGATCAGTAGGGTATGCTTTGATATTTAGCTTATTTATAACTATGTCACCTACTAGGGGTAATGTTTTGATTGGTCAAACACTTTTGGTGCTTGTGCACATAAGCCTGCAAATATTGATAATTTTTCATTCCTGATGATGACGTAATTAATGTCGAGATATTGAATCCCGACACGATGGCGTGCATTTCGATACTTGGAGTATGTATTATACTATCTTATCTGAGATTAATCAGTGGACCTTTAGGCATCAACCGTTAGTAAAATTTCAGGCAAAAACCTGAAGGGTTCTCAGAATAATTATTGTTGGTGAGGAGGATCAACAGATTCTGTTATTAATAACAACACGAATCATCTAGTAGTGCGCCTAAAGTCATTTAACACTGTTAATCATCATGTCATTATTAATTGTAACTGAATATATTCTTCGCTTTAGTTTTAAGTTTGAATCTGTTTTTGGTTTGAGATAATCCTTCAAGTTTTATATTTTTAAAATTGTCATTGGCTGTTTTTAGAATGCTTCGGTTAGTATTAGGATATTTTAAAGTGATGAGTGTCAATGATTTATAAGTGATTCCAATAAATTTAAAACATAAGATCTGACACAAAATAGGTCTAGTATTTATGAATGAAGGCAAAGTAGATAGCAAAATAGTACAGCAGAAAAACAAACAATATAAATTAGAGAAAAATAATAAAAAAATAGGTTATCATGAATTTTTGTGAAATAGATACTTCTTGCTAGACACCTTTTTATATGTTAGTTAATAAACCGTAACATCTGATGTAACAATCTTATGTAACAAGTAAATTTAGTTCTTCAAAATAATTAGTTTCGATTTGGTTAATATACTAGTAACTAGTGGTATTTGGTTTCGAGTCCAATTACCTACACTTTGATTTGTAAGCGAGGAACAGTACATATAGTGAATTTGAAAATGTAATTGCTGAATCTTAATATTTACACAAGTGCATCGCAAAATAAGGCATTAATTCCAGGCTATTCGTATTCATTACTAACGAAATAATTGTTCTATTTGTCATGCTTGCTGAAAGTTTCTGTTGAATTTATTGTTTTCTTTTTCTTCATTTGTTCATATGATTATATAACATTTCCCTATAACAAGAGTTTTACTATCATGAAATATTGTGTAGCCATGTTAGTCTCAAAATATATAATGACATTATTTTCAAGACTTTATAACAACATAAAATTTATTAAATTTGAGGCAGTTCACAGCATAAACTAAACTTATTGCTCAATAAATTATATTTTTTGGTTTAGAAAGTGCTGTCAGAAATTTCACTGATTTGCACCTCATGAAACATACCAAACTATTAATGTTCATCATAGTATTGTATTGGAAATCTGTAACTATGGAATGCAACACTTTGGTTGTTATATATTATGTTTTAGTCATCCCCCTATTGTCTGGATTAAACATTTTTTTCCCACGATTACTCCATTCTTAAATCGTGGTTATGAAAGAAATGATTATTTAAATATTTATCCTCGTGAAAGAAATCCTCATTACCTATGAAAACTGACAGAGCTTACGCGTTCAATTCCAGCTTGGATTTAAAATATAAATTTTGCTTAAAGCTTACTGGTATGTGTTCTACCATAGAGAAAATAGAACAGATGGTTCTACTGTTCAACATTTGTGATCTGTTTAAGGATGGAATAAAATTTGTTGCATGAAGTCTCAACCAACCCTGGAGAATTTTTAACGTGGATATGTTAACTCTGCTGGCTTACTGTTCGAGTTAGTTTATACCCCAGAACGAAATTTTTGAAAGGTATGTTTGGTTGCTTCACAAGTGAGAAACGTTTTGCTAGTGAGGCAAGGGAATTTGACGTTGCTAGCGAGGCAGCAGTACTGACTGTTTGCTTAGATTTCAATTTGCTTTGCAGTTGGTGCTACAGTATCGCATGACTCGTTTTCATCTTCTTGGACTATTTGGTGAAGACAGCCGAGCAGATATCATTCGTATTTCCAGTAGAGAAAATCCGATCAGAATGACAAAATAAATTAAGTATCCACTGGAAAAAATCCTAATATCTGCAGACAGATCATTTTCGGCCTTTCAGGCTTCATCAGTGCAGCTAGCGTACAGACCCAAGACGAAATGTTCGGCCAAGAAAGCGAAACCAGTGCAATATTATATGATACAGCCCAGGTGTGAATGCAAATAGTACAATGCGAGTTAAGCGTCTACTCGATGTGGAATGTTATAGGACGGCTTGTTTCCAGTAGATACAGAAAATATTTTGTAATTCTTAACTCGTCCTACGAAATTCTTACCAGACAGCATTAATCGGTGATTTCGTAAACAAAATCGGAGATCTAAAGATGCAATCTCTACCGTGCATCGTAGCGGCTCGCTGCAATATATAGATACAGACCAGGTGTGAATGCAAACAGTGGAACACGAGTTTTTTGCCTAGTCGATTGTGGAATGCTATAGGACTTAATATTGATGATGCAACTAGTATGCAACGAAATTATTTTCCAAGTTCGTCATCAATTCTAATGGGACAAAATTGAAATTATACTGTTCGCCAATTTATAGAGAGTTAAGATTCTTATTTTGATTAGGCCTATAAATCATTGTTTACAATTAGGTAAAGTCCTATGTGAATTATTGGCAAGGTAAACGCTTTTTTTCATATTTTTTTAATTGGTAGCTAATAAACTACCGTACTTTATATTGATGACACTGATGAATTGAGCATTTCATTGTTTTATTGGCTTAACATAGACAAGGCTATTCAATAAATAAATTTGTTTTCGCTTTTCGACACTCATTACCTATCCGCTAATAGGTGAACATTATTGTTAGTAAATAATTCGTTCGTTTAGTCTTTTCCATTCATTTATCAATTCAATCACCAAATAATTAATTTCTTCGTTCATTCATTTTTTTTCACCCACAGATAATATATCGAATCAATCGATTGATCAGTGAGTAGGTCAGTCTCACAACAACCCAAGTTTATTGAACTTTGAGAATCGTAAACAATTAAAGGAGAGAACTTTGTGCAGGTAAGCTTAAAGTAATCATATCGCTAATACTATCTTAAGTAAAGCTTTGGATTTGTTTTTAGATTAACACGAACAGAATCATTTGAGGGCTTTATTAATCAGAATTTATCATCAAGAATATGTTGCCGTGGCAAAAGAATAGCTTCTAATGGAGTTCGAATTCCATTTTCCAAATTACAGTATCTCCAATCTAAAAACCATGGTACAACATTAAAGACAAAACTTAGCCCACAAACAGGCACATGTGTCTACTTAGTTTTTGTAGGCCTATTTTTGTGATTTTCGTGTTGTTCAATCGTGGAGTTACAGATTGTTCTTTTGAACGGTTCTTTAATTTATTCAATGTTAATAGTTTATAGTAAGGCATACTATGAACAATATTCATTTCACATTAGTTAGTGCCTGCATTCTCACGTAAATACGCAGGGCCAACTGCCTAACATGGCCTAAACTCAGGCTATAGATCCATATTTTAAAGATACTTAGTTGTCGAGCGATGAGGCATGTGCACCGATAGTCCGTGACCCTACCACCTTATGGTTTCGGTGGTGGAACAAGTCTTCTCGGACCAGGAATTAAACTAACTGAGCGTACACGTGGCTCCTGTGCATTTCAAAAACCTAGCATATTTTCGGAAGAGTTAGGGGTTACTCAAGTGCTCGAATTCATATCATCCCCCTGTCGATGCGGACAAACCAAAGACGCCGACCGTCGGTTGCACAGACACGATGTGACCCTTTAGGGAGAAAGATGTTGAATGACCCTGTGGGCAATTAAGCCTAGCCTGCTGTGAATCACAGGTTATATTATTGTCTTACCTCATTTAACTTTCATTTACCTTCAACTATCCTATACCGGATTTGTTACCCAATAAAAATACTACACAGTATAAGAATCAGGAACGACAATATAGAGATAGGGTATTGGTATTCAAATAAAGTTTAGTTTTAAGTTTGAATCTGGTTTTTGTTTGAGATAATCCTTCAAGATTTTTATATTTTTTGGAATCTTTTTAGAATATTTCGGTAATAGGATACTTTATGTGATAAGTGCGAATGATTTAAAAGTGATGCCAATAAATTAATATGTAAGATCTGAAACAAAATAGGTCTTTTATTTATAAATGAAGGCAAAGTACATAGCTAAAATACCCGAAATATATTATATATTGTAAAGTATTACAGCAAAAAAATAAATAATATTTGGAGAGTAGAACCAGTAATTCTGGTTCTCATGAATTGTTGTCAAATGAATATTTCTGTTAGACGCCTGTTTGAATGTTATTAGATACACCATAACATATGAGACAATCAGTATTTGTCCTAAGGCTTCATGCCTATACACGATTAGTTGCAAAATGATATATATATATATATATATATATTATATAATTTATATAAAATTATATATATATTCATATATAAAGCGAAAGAAATTGATTGCCTTCAGAGCCAGTTGAAACGTGCCTCATGGTATATATAGATGAAAGAAATAGTCGGAGGCTTGGATGGAACAAAACGTGTCTTTAATCATCAAGCTTTCGAGCTTACGCTCTTCATCAGGATCTGTACAAAAACATCCATAAAACAGTACAAAGTCGTTTTAAAATATAAAAACTACTTATTAAAATAATTTACATTAAAATAATTATAGATAGATATACATCGTATATATAGGCCTATATACATA